ACCGTCGCCAGTACTCATTTTCATTGAAAGATGGGGGTTACTTCAGTTTTTTGTTTACCTGCTTCCTAGATCGGCTGTAATCATACGAAATTTTTTAATTAACTCAGTAGTGACTCCTTCTGCATTCTTTCGATCATTCTTAACCACCTCCAAAATTTTTCCAATGTGCTGATCAACGCCGATGAGGTCTATTGTCTGCATTTGCAAAATGTTTGCTGTAGGTTCCAAAAACATTGAATACACTTAGGTCTTTTTTATGCGGTACATGCGTTCCTCAGAAAGCCGCATAAAAAAGTTCTTTACTTTCATACAAAAACAGGGGATGCGTTCCAGCATTTTCAAAAACCGCATAAATTCAGATTTTCCATGTAAAAAATTCTAAAAAAAACCGCATAAAAACATCCGGAGAGGCAATATTAAGCAAAAAAAAAATTTATTTCTTCACTTCAACACTTATTCTTCCATGTAAAGCTGAACATTATGAAATAAATAAAGTTGTATCTGTATTTTAACCAAAAACAAAAAAATACCACAAAAAATACAGGAATTATGTTAGAGTACAAAGACAAATTACACTGGCTTACAGCAAAAACGTTCTATAGATGCCACTATCCAATTCCTATGTAGAATTGCTCGGTGATTCCGAAAATCGATTTAATTTTTTTTTTCTATAGATACGTTTTCGAGATATTTGCAATTTACCGTTATTCAGCTTAAAGCAAAAATTACGAACCTATTAAAAAAAAGGCAAATGAAAGCCAATGAAATTCTCCATAAACCATATATACATCACTTTCCGATAGGGCTTATAATTTCTGACAAATTAACTATCATTCCAGCTTCTTTTATTTTTCTTCTTCTTCTTTATTGGCGCTGTAACCGCCTAAGCGATTTTGGCCGAGTCCAAAACAGCACGCCAGTCATTTCTCTTCTGTGCTAACTGACGCCAATTGAAAATGCCAAGTGAAGCCAAGTGAACCTGGTCTTTCCAACGCAGAGGAGGCCTTCCTCTTCCTCTGTTACCAGCATCGCGGCCCGCGCTGAATATTTTCAGAGCAGGAGCGCTTCTGTCCATTCCAACGGCGTGGCCAAGCCAGCGGAACCGCTGAATTTTAATTCGCTGCACTATGTCTATATCGTTGTAAATCTCATACAGCTCATAGTTAAATCGTCTGCGATATTCGCCATCACCAACGCGTAAAGGTCCGTAAATCTTTCGCAGAATATTTCACTCGAAAACTCCAAGAGCGCCTCATCAGACGCTTTCATTGTCCATGCCTCCGCGTCATATACCAGCACAGGCATGATGAGTAACTTATAGAGTGTGATCTTTATATGACGAGAGAGGACTTTACTTCTCAATTGCCTACTCAGCCCAAAGTAGCACTTGTTGGCAAGAGGGATTCTCCGTTGCATTTCAAGGCTGATATTATTATTGGTGTTAATGCTGGTTCCCAAATAAACGAAGTCGTCTACTTTTTCAAACTTGTAACTGTCAACAGTGACGTGGGTGCCAAGACGCGTATGCTCTGACTGTTTATGTGACGACAGGAGATACTTCGTTTTGTCCTCGTTCACCACCAGACCCATTCGCTTTGCTTCTCTATTCAATCCCGAGGAGGCAGAACAGACGTTGCCCTTCTTTTTACCGATAACATCGATGTCGTCGGCATACGCCAGCAATTGTATGCTCTTGTAAAGTATTGTGCCTGAGCGGTTCAGTTCTGCGGCTCTGATATGTTCTCCAACATCAGATTAAAGAAATCACACGAAAGGGAGTCCCCTTGTCTGAAACCTCGTTTGGTATCAAACGGCTCGGGGAGATCCTTCCCTATTCTGACGGAGCTGGTGGTATTGCTCAACGCCATTTTACACAGCCGTATTAGTTTCGCTGGGATACCAAATTCAGACATCGCGGCATAAAGGCAACTTCTCTTCGTGCTTTTGAAAGACCTTATAACCTATGCTTAGAAGGCTGATTCCGCGGTAGTTGGCGCGTATGGCGGGGTCGCTTTTCTTGTGGATTGGGCAGAGCACACTTAAATTCCAGTCGTCGGGCATGCGTTCATCTGACCATATTCTGCATACGAGCTGATGCATGCACCTCATCAGCTCCTCGCCGCCGTACTTGAATAACTCGGCTGGCAGGCCGTCATCTCCAGCAGCTTTGTTGTTTTTCAGCCGCGTAATCGCTATTCGTACCTCGGCATAGTCAGGCGGTGGGACAGCTCGCTTCCTTATTCAGTTCCCTATAACGGTCCCACATGGCTCGCGTTGCGCCCGATCGCAGCGTGGCCCTGTAGGCGGCACCTTTTTTCTCTGCGGCTTCTTGACATTCCTCATCGTACCAGTTGTCCTTTCGGGCTCGCTGAAATCCAAGTTCTTCTTCGGCGGCGGTACTTAATGATCGGGAAATGTGGTTCCACTGCTCGTGTATGTCGGATTGTTGAAGAGTGCTTTCAGAGAGCAGGTGTGTTTGTCGAGTGGCGAATAAATTGGCCGTCTGTTGTGATTGCAGCCCTGCGAAGTCGATCAGCCTCAGTCCGTTATCGGACGTTTCGTCGTGGAGGCTGAATTTTCCGACAGTGGCGCCAAAAATCCCTTCCTTGCCCACCTTGGCATTAAAATCGCCAAGGACGATTTTGACATCGTGTCGGGGGCAGCGCTCATATGTACGTTCCAAGCGCTCATAGAAGAGATCCTTGGACGCCTCATCCTTGTCTTCCGTCGGGTATGGGCGCAGATGAGCGAGATGTTGAAGAATCTAGCTTTGATGCGGATTGTGGCTAGACGTTCGTCCACCGGGGTGAACGCCAGTACTCGGCGACGGAGTCTCTCCCCTACCACGAATCCAACACCGAATTTGCGCTCCTTTACGTGGCAGGTGTAGTAGACGTCGCAAGGCTTCACGCTTACTTTTCCATGCCCCGTCCATCGCATTTCTTGGATGGCGGTGATGTCAGCCTTTGTCTTCCCGAGGACATCAACCAGCCGGGAAGAGGGACCTTCCCCATTTAGGGTCCGGATATTCTATGTGCATACCCTTAAATCATAGTCCGTTATACGTTTGCCGTGGTCGTCATCAGAAAAAGGGGGTCTCATCCGAGGCTGTTTTTTCTTTTCATTGGGCGGGGTTTTAACGTGGCGGGACCCAAACCCAGCGCACGCGAAGTTTTACGCCTTCTCACTTTAGCTCGCGTGGACATAAATATCCGGACGTTGTGAGCTGCGATTTGAACCGTACGCACAAGAATCGCTTCTGGCCACTCCCAGGTGAATGGCAGTCAAAAGTTTTCCGCTTCTGCATCGGAACCATTTTTTTTATTATTTAATGAAAAAATGAAAAGAATCAAACTTTAACAGAAGAAAAATTAAAAAAATAACAAGTTCTGTGCCAAATTTTAGCGTTTGTACTAAAGCCTGTTTTGTTAAAAAAAAAGTTATTGATGAAGAAAGTCGATGGATAAATACGAAATAATGAGTGGTCAAATGAAAATGCGCAAAGATTTTTTGTATGAAAAATGAGCAGGAAAGAAAGTTACTCATACGCCACGTACACCCGAGTAACACGCGTGCGTAAACAAACATGCCTGGAATGCATAAAAACCCATCAAACATAACAGCGACATACATACAAATGTATACACATACATACATACACACCAACGCATACACAAAGGCACAGCATCAGCAATCCAGGCAACGGCAAAGTGGCGTGATCCAGCGCGTAAACAAATAAGCGTGCACAGGGAGAATGCAAACAAGACACCATCGGCATATGTACATACATACATACCTATATGCAGCAGCACGTAAACAAAGGCACAGGGCCCAACACTGCAGGCAAAAGCAAGGTCGTGCGATCAGGCGCGCAAACGAACTAGCACACCGACTACGCAAAATTCTTTAGAACAAACAAAAACACATGGGGGATATATGTACATTGTACATGCATATATACTTACATACAGCGCACATACGACACACATCAACACACAAACTATGCCGTGATCAAGTGCATTAACGCAACCAACAACACCCAACAAGCCAAAAGGCAACAACTTTGTACAGCAACGTAATGCAGCCAAGTTGTGCCGCGTTTAGATAAAAAGACGGGCAAGAAACGAATATCGATCACAGCACACCATGTCGTCATACACATCAAGCGAAGGAAACGAATACTCCGCCGAATACCCAACCAACGACTCCTCACGGGTTAGGTTGAGGAGGATGACGGCACCAGAAGACGAAGGAAACGAAACCCGGTCAGCGAGCGGCGGCGGTACAGACGACGACGAAACAGAGGTGTTTGGCGAACTAGGGGACGACAGCGAGGAAGAGGGGGCGATGGCAAAAAGCCCCCACTCCCATAGAAATTTCTAGCGACGAAGATGATCGCCAGCCTAACATACGGGGCGTAGAGCTGTAAAGTTTCCCTGTTTCAGAAAAAAACTATCATTACTCATTGATAGTTTCCAGCAATACCATCGATAGCACTATCGATAGTCAATGTAATGTTAAACACTGTTCCAAATTAACAGGGACTGCATCGAAAAACAAAAAAAAAAACAACATACTGAAAATATAAACACATGAAGGGCCGTTTTCTTAAGTAACTTTTAACTTTAAAATTCACTTTATGTTTAAATATTGCTCTAACATGTATAGTTCTGTCTAAGTAATGCATTTAATTATCGAATATTATTTATTTATTTACATATCTATTACTGAAGCTTACAATTAAAAATAAAATTATGAGCCTAGTAAAGAAAGCTTATTCTTATGATCTATAACACATGGCAACAAAAATGGGAAAAAATGTGTTGCGGCAAATGTTACAGCTGTTTTTGATTGACTTGTCAGTGCTGATTACGAATCCATGAGCATAAGGTTTCCATCAGCTCCAGATTTTGTGAAAAACGAGGTCAAAATGTCAAAAAATCGGGTTTTTTTTGGCAATCTTTTAGAAGTTCTAGCAAAGAAACAAAAGGCGGTGTTGGCGCAGTGTAGACATAGCCTAAGCAATGTAAATTTATCGATTTTTCTTTATTGTGAGCCTCCTTGCCATCACTAAATAATTTGATCGAGGAGAAAGAAAAGGTCATTATAGATTCTGGCAAGGAGGAGTGAAAACGCACAAAAGCGTAAGTTCTTAATATATGTGTATTTCTTCTAATCTACCATGTATATGTACATTTTATAAAACAGGAAATAAAGCGCCACGTCACAGTTATCATAGCACGGAAATTTGACAGCTTTTATTTGTTCACCTAGGAGCCGGAATCTATAATCAACATTTCTTTATTTGGCTTTTCTTGGGAAAAGCAAAGAGCAGCCGTGGAGCTCCGAATGTGCGCGCTGGCGCAGATTAAAAGGTGGAAAAATTTGAGGGTACCAACTAGCGCAGATGAATATTTAATGCATTGTTATCGGTGAATTGTTACTAAAGAGGAGTACGTCGTGGGATTGCTAGTTGATTTTGGTGAGACACCCTAAGGAGTAATCGGTAAGTACTCTGGGAGATTGGTTAGGGAGAATAATTGGTGGTCGGACGGTGGCATACAACAAATTATTAAATTATTTGGACAGAAAATAGTTTTAACCTAAAAAATAAACGAAAGAAAAACGTTATTGAAAAATATCGGGACCACTCATAACGTTATTATCGTAGACATACATACAGCATGCCAAAACACGTTCGGGCGCAAGTCAAGGTGTGCAAGGAGACAGCGATACGAATGAAGAATGTCGAGAAACGGTGGCCCTGCAGCCGTTAGCGAATCCGCTTGCCAACCAATCGCTGGAATTAAATTTAGCGGAAATCCTACAGCAAGTACAAAGCCTTCAAGAAGAGCTAAGGAAAACTAGACAAATACAAGTGGATATGATGGGCAACGATAGAATTGTTACAGCAGGATCTAGCGTTGTTGGCCATTCCCAAACCAGGTCTAATATGGTGTCAGCATCTGAAGTCGATGGTCGTCCAGAGGACTGGCCAATGTTTAAAAAAAATTTTATAGCTACAACTGCAGAGTATCGGTATAGTGGCACGCAAAATATGATGCGTCTTCAAAAAGCAGGCAAAGGGAAAGCTAGGAAAACAATTGAATGTTTATTAATACACAGCCGAAATGTTAGCCAAGTAATGAAAGTTTTACAGGACCGCTTTGGGAAACCAGAGTTTTTAGTAAAGAGTCAAATAATAAAATTCGTAATTTTGCACCGAACATCGAATTGAACAATTGGTAATATTCGCAACGAAGGTTCAAAATTTATTTTCATTTTTCCAAGCAGCTGATTGTGATCGTCATTTATCGAACCCAACATTGATGGAAGAACTGTTGTTGAAGCTGCCTATACAAAGGCGCATCGAGTGGGCGTGACATGCTGTATCCATCGTCCACTTTAGCGACTGGTTGCAGGAACTATCGGACGTCGTTTATTCAGCTTGTGCATATTCAACCTTCGAGATGCGCCAAAATAGAACTGAAGACCGCCAAAGATTCTTCCATGTGAATGAGGGTAATAATGAGAATACTCGAATAGCATGTGAAGTGTGCGCGGAGAGACATAACATAACTAAGTGCGATAAGTTTTTACGTATGCATCTTCCTGATATGTGCCGTGTAGTACGACGTAAAAGGCTCTGTTTCAACTGCTTAAAAGGGGGTCACCGAAGCAATCTGTGTGGCGAACAACATGCGTGTGGGGATAGGCGCTGCTCAAAGAAGTTGCATGCACATCTTCATCAGTCTAGTGGTAGAAGTAAAAATTGGGATTTGACGCGTTCACAAGAAGCATCACAGCCGTCATCAGGGCCTGGTATTCAGCAACCGTTGCCATCGGCTTCAAGACAAGCAGTTCAGCAGCAGCAAGCATCAGATGAAGCAGTATCAGTTTTCACCAGTACCATAGTACCTAGACACACACCGAAGTTCTTCAAAATAATTCCAGTTATTTTGTATGCCGATGTGAAGGAGGTCAAGAACTACACATTCTTCGATGAGGGGTCAGCGATATCGTTAATGAATCGGGGTCTAGCCAGCCGGACTATGGACTTAAAGAACATAATGATAACCTAACATTGCAGCGGTTCGGAACCACAACAGTCACGGAGCCCTCGTGTAGAGTGGACGTGGAGATATCAGGAGTTGGGCATAATCGTAGAAGATTCAAATTACAAGGCGTTCGCACGGTTGAAAACCTGCAACTACCAATGCAGTCTCTCCGCTTATCGGAGCTGCATTACAAGCATCGACACTTACCTATTATGCAATACAGCGATGCAACACCAGAGCTGCTGATAGGATTGGACAACGCTCCTCTGGGTATCCCACGTCGAATAGCGTATGACGGAAGTAGAGGTACTGCAGTGGTATTAACCAAACTTGGATGGGCGATTTATGGAACAGGGAGCCATTCAACCCCCAATGTTCGTTTTCGTTCTTTATTTACACAGGTATACGATACAATGAGAAGCCGGAAAAGTTGGAGAATTTAGTCAGCGAGTACATCGTCAATGAGAATATGGGAGTAAATACGATGAAGCAACCGGTTGAAGCTGAAGACATGCTAAGGGCTAAGAAGCTATTGGAAGAGAACACGAAGCGCTATGGGCGTCGTTACGAAACCTGTTTACTGTGGAAGCAAGATAAGAGAGAGTTGCCGGAAAGTCGAGAGATGGCGGAAAAAAAGGTTTTCTTTTCACTGGAGAGAAAGTTTGAAAGGAATGATGATTTTAAAAAGGCGTACTCAGCTATCATTTCGGAATATGTTAATAAAGGCTATTGTCGGAAGCTGAATAATGAGGAAGTGGTACAAAAGAGTGGACGAACATGGTATCTACCTAATTTTGGTGTAAATAACCACAATAAAACTCAGACTGGTTTCGATGCGGCGGCTGAATCTCATGGAATTTCACTAAACTCCATGCTGCTAAGTGGGCCGGATCTATCGCAGCCTTTGACACCGGTTCTCCTGAAATTCAGGCAGAAGCCAGTCGGTGTTTGTGCAGACATGGTGGAAATGTTCCACCAAATCAGGATTCGCGCAGAAGATTTAACAGCACAACGTTTCTTGTGGAGAACTGATCCGGGAGCACCTCTGGCTGAATATGTCATGAATGTTATGACATTTGGAGCCACATGCAAAATGCAGAAGAGTTCAAAGAAAAATTTCCTGAAGCTGGGGCAGCCATCATACACAATCATTATGTAGATGATTTCGTTCATAGCTTTTCAAGCGCTGAGGAGACCCTGAAGGTTACAAAACAGGCAATTTGGATACATGCAAACGGAGGCTTCGAATTAAAAAGATTTGTATCGAACTCGAAAGTTGTTAGTGATTAAATAGAGAAGAACTATCTGTATCTACCCTAAATCTTGATAGGGAAAGCACCGAGTTATTCCCGAATGTACTTGGAATGTTTTGGGTGACCAAAAGTGAGGCACTGAAATTTACCTTGTCATTTGGAAAAGTTAATAGAGATGTGCTGCTGAAGAAACGAAGGCCAACCAAGCGAGAAGTGCTCAGCATAACAATGTCGGTTTTTGATCCTTTCGGAGTTGCAGCTGAATATACGTTGCAGGCGAAACTAATCCTGCAGACAATATGGAGAGAGCAGAAAGATTGGGACATAGAGGTTTCCGATGCAGCGAAGGAACGATGGGGAAAATGGCTGCGAGCGTTACACGACTTGGAGAAAATAAGCATACCGCGTTGTTATGGAGCTAATTTTATGTCATCATCAGCGGACCTACACGTGTTTGCCGATGCGAGTAAATCAGCGTATGCTGCAGTAGCTTACTGGGGATTTGTGGGCGACCATGGCGATACACAACCAAACTTTGTTGCTGGAAGAACCAAATGCGCTCCAATAAAACTTGTGTCTGTCCCTCGTCTCGAGCTGCAATCGGCAGTTCTCGCAACACGTTTGAGGGCAAGCATTGTTGAAAGTCATGACAAGTCTCCAACCCGTATAGTAGAGTGGTCTGATTCAAAAACTGTTTTATCTTGGATAAAATCAGATCATCGTCGATACAAGCCTTATGTAGCACATCGTGTCAACGAAATTGTAGATGGCAGTGACGTCAATGACTGGAGATGGTTGTCCAGTGCATTAAACCCCGCTGATTTTGGGACACGGGTTAGAGACCAGAAGAGGGAATCATCTTGGATAACCGGACCAAAGTTCCTCCAGGATGAAGAGGCAAGTTGGCCATCAAGCGTAACCTGCGAAAGTACAAATATTGAGCTACGCAAAAGATTTACTATTTTACTAATTAATGTTAATACTTAATTTTTAAAGAGATTTTCATCATTTATACGGCTGAAGAGAGTAGTCAGTTGGATAATGCGGTTTAGGGAAAACTGCTACACATTAAAGGATGCACGCGTCTACGGTAACCTAATACCGTCGAGCTAAGGCGAGCTGAAACAGTCATCGTTCGGGCGGTACAAATGGAAGCGTTTCATCTCTGGCCCATAGTGGATGGCGAAGGAGTAATCAGACTTGGAGGGAGAATAGACGCTGCATCAGCAATTCCATATTATACCAGAAGACCGATAATTCTACCCAAGATTGGTCATCTAACCCAGATTATCATAGACTACTACCACCGTATTTGGAAGCAACAAAACAACTCCATGAAAATTGCCGAGATACGACGTAGGTATTGGATACCACACATAAGAGCAGAAGTGCGTCGGGCTATAAAAAGGTGTCAGTACTGCATCAAGGAAAGAGCTACTCCACGCCCGCCATTGATGGGCCAGCTGCCAAGCGATCGATTGTCGCCATTTGTTAGGCCTTTCACGTACGTCGGGTTGGACTATATGGGACCGTTCACGATTGTCATTGGTAGGCGGAGCGAAAAGCGTTGGATCGACCTTTTTACATGTTTAACTTCACGTGCAGTGCATTTAGAAATGGCGAAGGATCTCTCAACTGATACGTGTCTGACTTACATTAAAAACTCAATGTGTCGACGTGGCACACCCATTCGTATTTGTTCGGATAATGGAACAAATTTTGTCGGTGCTGACAAGGAGTGAAAGCGCCAGTTAAAGGACTTCGAAAACATGAATATAGAGTGGGTTTTCAACTGTCCACTCAATCCACACGCAGAAGGTTGCTGGGAGCGGTTGGTGCGCAGCAATAAAAGACCGATGGGACACGCAGTACACAGCGAGAATCTTCACGAGCACTCCTTATATAGTTTGATGTGCGAGGCCTAAAACATCGTAAATTCCCGACCGTTAACAAATGTTGCACTGGACGAACCGACTGACCAACCACTAACCCCTAATCACTTTCTCCTAGGTACCCCGAATTGTGAACAAACACCACACCCTCAAGAGGAGAAGTTCCGAGTCACCCGCAAACTTTGGCGTAAAGTGCGGCAAATGCAGTATCGGACCTGGAAAAAATGGATCGATGAATATCTTCCTGGTCTGACACGGCGAAAGAAATGGTGTCTACCGGTAAAACCACTAGCAGTAGGAGATGTGGTATTAGTATGCGATCGTGGTATGCACCAGTCGAGTTGGCCCATGAAACGAGTAGTGAAGGTCTTCCCAGGTAAAGACAACCAAGTGAGAACCGCGCTGATTCAAACGAAGGCGGGCATCTATAAGCGACCGGCCTGCAACTTAGTCAAACTTGATGTTGGTGAATCTGATCAGATTCACGAAGGCGGGGATGTTGGCGCAGTGTAGACATAGCCTAAGCAATGTAAATTTATAGATTTTGATTTATTGTGAGCCCCCTATGTAGATTTATCGATTTTTCTTTATTGTGAACCTCCTTGTCATTACTAAATAATTTGAACGAGGAGAATGAAAAGGTCATTTTAGATTCTGGCAAATAGGAGTGAAATCGCACAAAAATTCTTAATCAGGCAGGTTCTGCAATTCACTTCCGAGTGAATTTCAACCCCTGCCAATTTGAATTCTACACGAATCCGACTCAAATTCACTCGGAAGTGAATTGCAGAACCTGCCTGAATATATGTGTATTTCTTCTAATCTACCATGTATATGTACATTTTATAAAACAGGAAATAAAGCGCCACGTCACAGTTATCATAGCACGGAAATTTGGCAGCTTTTATTTGTTCACCTAGGAGCCGGAATCTATAATCAACGGGCGGTATTAGGCTTAAATTGAAGCTAGAAGTCTCGACTACTATCCCTAAAAATATCATCCCTACACCTTGACCTGATGGTCACTTATAGTAATTTTTGATTACCTGATTTTGTGCGAAGTTTGAGTACCCACCGAAATTAAACAAAAGGAGATAGAGCCTTCCACTTGGGCTAAAATTAAGGCTTGAACTTTCGACTACAATCGCTTAAAATAGCATCCCTGAACCTTAACCCTAAGGTCACTTATAGTTATTTATTTAACAGCAAAAACTGAATTTGGCAAAACTTATTTATTTTTTTCAATAGCACAGTATTTATTCCAGTATTTTTTATTGTTCAATAAATGACTTTTAGTGACCATCGGGTCAAGGTGCACGGATAGTAGCCGAGAGTTATAGCTTTAGTTTAAGTCTCAGTTAAAGGTTCTATCACCTTTTCTTTTTGTGCTAGACCTTCTAATATATTGCAAAAAACGCGATTTTTTGACACTTTGACCTCGTTTTTCTCAAAATCTGGAGCTGATGGAAACTTTATGCTTAGGGACTCGTAATCAGCATAAAAAAGTCTACCAAAAACAGCTTTGTCATTTGCCGCAACAAAATCACTGTTGCCTTGTTTAATTGTTGCTTATTATAAATTTTCAAATATGATATATTTTCTTTAAATTTCATAATATAATTTTTTGATTTGTTTACAGCCAAGAAACACACAAACGTCAAACACCGATAATAGAAATGCTTTACTTCAGCCAATGCCTTATGGTTTGAAGCAACGTTTAAATATAAAGGGAGCTTTTCAATTAAAGGTTGCTTGAGAAAACGGCCATTAAAGGAGGAATCACAATGAAAGTATCACTTATAATAAAAAATTGACAAACTTAAAAAACTGACGCGCAGCTACATGGAGACATTATAAATAAATTCGGCAGTGCTAGAGGTTTTAAACTATCGATAGTCAACTAGTACTATCGATAGTTTAACCTTTTTTGAGAAAAAATATCACTACTCATCGATAGGGGCAAACAAATAAAGCTATCGATACTATCGATAGTACCATCGTTAGTTTGACACCTCTAACGGGGCGAAGTAAACATAACCGCGGAAGACAAACAACGCGCAGGTACAACGAGTATACCCGCAATGTGGGCATACGCCTACGCATTTTTACCGACACCACCGCAAGTACCCCAGGGGAAGAACCGCCACCGAAGCGGTATATTTGCGAGGCCATCAGCAACACCACACAAGACGACGGGGAGATGAGCTTGATGGCGAGCGAGGGTTTACTCCGCGAAGTCGAGGAGCAGGCCACTAACCACAACTCCCATTCCGAGGAAGAAGATGGGATGGGCGACATAATGAAGTGGCTGGACGCCAACGAGGCTGAATCCACAAACACCCCAACAAGTTGGCGCAACCTTACTGGAGAGGCCCAACTGCCAACGGAGCCAACAGAAGAGCTACGGCGACACCTCCAGCAAGAACGGAAGCCAGGCACCAAACAGTCGTTCCGAAGAAATGCAAATGCAGGCGTTGGTACCGCATCCGCATTTCACGAGCTGGAAACGTGGCGGTA